CATATAAAATGTCAAAATCCACAATTGCCCTTCTTTAACTTCCATTTTTCTTATTAAAAGAAAAAAGAAAAAAGAAAAAAATCTGAATGTCGGCCACAAAGTATTTATCTCTCCATGAAGTGAAGGAAGGCGTGGATTAAGCCCACTTCATGAATCTCTCTGTCTCCTTTTGTCCTTATTCTAATATTTTAAAATCACATTTAATTCTTTTAATTATATTAATCAACACTTAAAATGTTTTTTTAACAAAAAAAATATAATTATAAAACCTGCAAAAAGTGCATAATATTTAAGTGAGATGTCCAATAGAAAAATGACAGGAAAGAAAAATCGATAAAAAGATTTGATTTCATATCATATCAAATAACATTATATGTCGTATATTGAATAAATTAAAAGAAAAAAATTAACACATAAATCCACGAAATTAATCAATACTTTTGCATGACCATAAAAACGAACACCCGTGGAAATAACTTGGTCGAGTATAAAAAATATACTAATACTACAAATTTTCGAGGAATGGTAACTCAGCAAACAAAGGATATTGATTCAATGTTTATTTAAATTCGTTGTTCAATTAATAAAATCTATAAATCATTGATATTCAATTTTGTTTGAACACAAAATATCCATCCGAACGATTGAATGAGTCTCTTTGTAATTGAGGAAATTTGCAAGAAAGAGCCATTCGTACCTCTGAATAGGTTTTATCATTTTGACATATAGGCGATTATGATTTAGAGAAAGTCATAAGCCCTTCGTCATTTTCTCTCCGAATTTTGGGATTCCCTGGAGATTATGTTAGCATTTTCTCTTATGATCATGACAAAATGGATTGAGACGTGTAGCAATGGATCAGAGATCGATGTCCTAGTTGTATTTGAGTTCGGCACTCCAACCGCGATGAATAGTACCCTATATGGAGTACTTTCTGGCCCAATGGCGCGACACCAGGTGGCCACACATTTCGCCCCTCCCACAACAAATTTTTTTTTACAAAAATATATACATACTTAAAAAAATTTCATTTCTTCCAAATAGATAATAAAAAATAAACTTATATTACAAAAATAACTTGTAAAAAATTATGTTTCATTATTTTATTTTCAAAAAAATTATTTTCGTCCATGGTGACAAATACATCATTTCACGATAACAAAGATAAAGCATGAAGCCACTAATTTGGATTATGACATCAATTAATAATTAGCTCCACTTTTCTTGTATAATGACTTCCAATTAAAAATAAAACACAAACAAAAAATAAGTTTGATTGGGAGAGATTGCCATTTAGCTTTCCATTCTTTTAGGTTACCATCTCTATCTATCAAGGATATTCGAAATTCAAAATTAGTCAACTCTTGAAAATACTAGTTTAAAAAAACTTGTATTTGTTTTAAAAATTTAAATATGTTGGTAAAAAAATATGACAAAATAGCACAAAAATTCTTATTTTGAAGAAGTAAAGTTAAACTTTAAAAACAGAAAATTAAAAATAAAATTATTATAAAAAAGAAACCTTAATTAGCCCCCTCCAAAAAAATATTTTAATTCTTAGTAATATTGTACCTACCAAAGAGTAGAATTTTAAAAATGTAACCAAATAGTTCCTTTTTTTTTTTCCTTAATTATTTGCTCAAACATACTTTTACCATATTCTTCTAAAAACAATTTCCAAACAAACTTTGAATAATTTATTTAAAAGTTAAATCTTCATACCAATCAATTCATCAAAATATCTGAACGAAAAAAGTCACATAAAATATCTAAGTTAGACAGTAAATCCACAAAATGACACAGTAAAAAAAGGCACCCAAAACTTTTTACTTCAGAAGCTTGATAATTTAAATGGATATATTTGTTTGGTGGGATGGAAGAGATATTTATCTTTTGAAGAAAGTAAATAAATAAAACTGTTAAATTGTGGAGTACACAAGGATTAACCCACTTTGTAAAAATTCTATTGCAACATTTTTTTCTCTCTTTTAACTTTTGCTTTTTGTTGGGCTCTTTCCAACCAAAATATAGTTCATAATTTGGAAGTGATAATCTTGCTCTAAGTAAAAGTGATTTGGATTTATGTTTAGGGAAAAGGTTTGGATTTTTTTTCCCTTCACATTAGATATTTATATTTCATTGAAATTTTTTTTAGACCACAGATTTAATTCAATATTATTTAATCTTTTAAATTTTTTATTTTATTTTAAAATATATTTGAAAGGTTTAATTTCTCTGACAAAAATACTATTTAATTTCTCAATGACTTCTTTCACTGTAATTTATGTTACGCTTCTCTCTTTACACTGTCATCTAACATCTATTCCATACACGTTGACAACTTTCGTCCCTCRTTAACTTCTCATTCTTCTATCTTTTTCTCACTAATTTCTCTTCTACGAATATACTTTTAATTTTCTCACCAACATCTCTATACATGTAATGCTAGTTTCTAACATGGATGACGAGTCCTAAAAACTTAGTTGTCATGTAGATAAAATCTTCAAATACCGAATAAAAATGACAAGTCGTGATATAATGTGTACAATGTAATCCGTATTTGTTGTCGTACACATGTATATTTTGATTGTTGTTTTTTAAAGGTAGGAAGCAATGAACAAAGGGCCTATAATATGATAGAATTGGTGGGATTTCTTCGACCTGACCATCACTAAGAAAACCAAAAGGATATTGAAAGTGAAATGGACATTAGAGTACTTGCTTCCAATCATGAACCCTAAACACTAACAAAATAGTTGAAGTAGCTAGTTTTGAATATATATATATATATATATATATATATTAATTTTTTAGATAATTCTCAATTTGGTCTTTTAACTTGTAGGGTCAGGCGGTTGCCCCATGAAATTAATTTAGGTGCAGGCAAGCTATCTGCACACTCACGGATATAAAAAAAAATGTTAAGAATCCCATATTTGAAAAGATAAGAGACTTTACAAAAAAATTTTATGATATAATAAGTATAAACTACCATTCTTATTGTCAATTGATTTTGGAGGTGAAATCCTGTAAATATTGATACATATATATCAAATAGTATTCGAGCGACGACATATCTACATGTCTAAATATGTCAATATAATAGTAACATAATAATACCTTTTTTAGTACGTAACATAATAATACATTAATTTTTGTTTAGAAATTTTAACATTTATTTAACAAAATGATATAATTGAGAAGTTTTAATACATTAAAAGGTAAATTTGAGAATTTCAAATGATAATGAACCAAATTGAGTTCAACCTAAAAGAAAATAATGCACGTCAATCAATCAATATTCAATACCACTATCTCAACTAATTTTCATATCAATCATCAATTATATAAATCAAGAAACTAAAAACCCCCAAATTGATTTAATCCTTATTAATTTCAAAATTAAAACACCATGTTTGGAAATTACATTCATAAATCATATATTGTATCCAAATATGTCTTTAAAGAAAAATAAAGCCTAATAATTAGTTCAAGATAAAAAAAGTCTGGTACTGACGGAGATATCACTACTCCTAACCCTATTTAGTAACATTCCTATTTCCAAAAACGTTATCAAACAATCTCTCTCCTTACGGACTGATCACGATCTTTCTCCACTTCTAATCGATACAAGACTTTAGTACTTACACGATGCGGTAGGAGAAGGGAGGGGGCAATGTAAGGGGTTTGGTTTTTAGTGGTTTCATATCATGGTGTTTCCATAATGGAAAAAGGCCATGGCCACGCCCAACAACTGTGGTGGCGTTAATGCCCTAATCCTAATTTTCTCAGTTATCAGTCGCTTCAATCCTGGCCGGGCCACCCCTCGCGCGCCCAGGCGCTCTATGGGGCCGCCGGCCCCCTCCCTAATAGTGCCCATGCCCCTCACTTCCCCCACCAATTTCAAATGTACCTCGTAAACTTTCCACCAAGATTTTTTTCCTCTCTCTCTTTGATATTTTTTTCATTTTTTTTTCCTAATTTAGAAAATTTTGAACCACTACTTTTATGTTGGAAAGGAGAGTGTGGTGGGTAAAATTAGTGGAGCTTTGGGAGTCTTTATAATTAGTTTTGACTCGATTTGAGATGGCTAAAATTTTTTATGGTGTGGGAAGCTTCAACTTAAATTTAAGACATGATCAAGCAATTGATGTTAGTGGGGTACTACTTAGTCGTGCATAAGAGATGACGTTGCTAAGTATGTGAAGACGTGCTTCTTGTTTCATCAAAATAAAGTCGAGTGAGACAGACTCCTGAAGCTTCTTGAAGTTGTAGCATGTACCACAAAGACCATGGGAGAGTGTCTCTATAGATTATTTTACGGATTTGCAAAAAGGGAATACAGATGTTGATCGTGGTAGACCGACACAGAAACAAAGATGCAAATATATGCTTTTTTTTTTTCTTATTTGTGTGTGGATAATAATATAGCATTACAATTGTAGTTACTAGCCAGGAGTGATGATTTAGACTATAAATTTATAGAAGATATTATTATACTTTAATTATTGAGTCGTGCTTTGGCTATATTAACTTGACATGTTGTAAAAATTGGATGAATGAAATCTTGATTTTTAATTGGGGAAAACCATTTTTTAAAGTTATCTAGTTCATCAATAATTTAATTGTTAAGGTACACTGTAACCAAATGCAAAACAAAATTACATATGATTTTCTTCGAGGATAGCACTTTTTCATTTAAGTATTACTTGCTTATACATCCTTTTAAGTATGATTAATAATTTAAAAAAAAGATAAATTTATAATTAGATCTCTATTATTTGTATGAACTCATACAAAATTATTATTTGTATCATTTATATAATTTTTCTATGGGTAGTTTATTTCAAATTAGGTAAAAAAGTAATTTTCTATTTTGAAAAACCCATTTATATAAGAAAATAGTTCTTCAATAAAAAATAGATTAATTTCCATATAGTTTTCTCTAACACATATCTTCTCCCAAAAAAGGAATTATATATACACTATTTCGCATCCAATACCAATACTATATATTTAATAAAGAACAAACAAATTTTGGGTCTCTTTATAATTTTTTCTTACGACTTATTAATCAGAAATAGGTGCTTTAAACTAGTTGAACGTAACTATGCTCAAGTTGACAAAATAAAAAATTGTTAGTTGACAATATAATATCAAGAAGTTAAGCAAGTACTATTGAAGGATCGTGTGTGACGCTTCCTATCGTATCCTTTCCCGAGAACCAATGAGCATTCGACACGGTGGCGAAAGTGGGGCCTTATAATCTTCCAAACCACCCGATAATTGGAGATGAAATTGAGTCGAATCATGAGCTCCAATCCCATTCCTGATTCAAGCATGTCTTCCATGCTCCTCCCCGCACCATACATTGCCCTATTGCTTGTGCCAACGCTTAACTGGAACGTCGTCGTTCCACTCTCTGCATACAATCTTGCACCCTATTTCAAAACCCCCCACACGATCAATTCTAAAGTCAAAACCTCTCTATCGTAACTGAAGTTGATGGACTTATCCCTAATAAGAGGAGGGGGAAAATCATCCAGTAGGGCTTGAACCGAGGAGGGATATCCCCATTCGGTCACCAGCCTACTAAGCCACCATCCGCCAGTGATACCGCGTGGCTGCTTTGTTAACACATTAAGCAAAAGGAACAAAGAGAATGAATAGTGTAGGAATGAGAGGGCTTACTTGAGAAGTTGCAATGGGGAGAGGCCCAAATGAGATGTGAAGAGATGGAGGAAGAATGTGAAGGCCAAAGAGCTTAGAATTATTGTCCACAGTTACATCCATTGTGAAATTGCATGTTAGAATCTTAGTTCCAACTCCTGTTTTGTCCACTCCTTCCCCCAGCATAAACTCTTCCACTCCTCCCATCTGAAAATATATGCATTATTCTCGTGTATGTTTCAATTTTGCTCTTAAACTATATGTAATATTTTAATTTTGCCTTAGAAAAAAACAGGACTATTTAGCTCAAAACCCCCTTTATTTTTTTAAGTACTTGAGTTTTTGGTAAGAGCGGACCTATAATTTTTTTGGGTGGGATAAAATTTTGTGTATGTATATGTATAGCTTTTTAATATTCTAAAAATTCACGACAAAACTAAAAAATATTATAAGTATTATATATATTTTTTGAATGACGAGAAACTAAGAAGGCATACATCACCCTCTTTTCTTTCTTAGTTGCACCTTTGTTTTAGGGAAATTATTAAAAAGTAATTTTTTCTTTTTGAGTACAAAGTGTGTGGAAGATTTAAATTTATAACCTTTCTGACCAGGTGTCTCGCTATTAAAAATTATGATATATTTGGAAATTATTGAAAGTTTTAAGGGATTTTTTTTTTTAAATTTTGGTTATAGTCTTGTAGTTTAGGACCAAAAATCATAATTTAATATAATCTTTTAACATAAAACTATTTGAAATAGATGTTTACTATTCTTGTATTTTTTTTTAATTCATCTTTGTTATTATTTGTTAAAGAATATAATACATCTAAATCATTTGATAAACCATTTAACATTAATTTTTTGTTAAGCTCAGAGCATAATCCAAATTTTAAAATTGTAAATTGGCATTGTTTTAAATTTAAAAACTAAATGGAACTCAAAGTTCTCAAACTAAATTGTAATTTAAACAAAGAAGAGAAATAAAATATAAATTTAAAATAGTATTTTATAATTAAAAACAAATTAGCAAAATCATTTACAACATGCAATAAGCTCATTCTCCGCCTCTCATAAGAGAAAATTATTAAAATAGTACAAAAAAGAAAAATTTATATATAGAACATTAGATTTAAAATTTTACAAAAATAACATAAATTATAAATTTATACCATCACATGAGAATAACTAAAACTCAAATTTTTGACATTTTTAGAAAAATACAAAAAGTAGTAATATTTTTATAAATACATATTTATTTTATGTGATTTAGTATAATTTCTCTAATAAAAAACAGAGAATTACTAAAATAACACAAAGGATTATGTATTTTTATATATTGGTACCTTTTCAACAAAAAAAGTGTCACTTATTTTCTAATCTTTATTTATAATTATATATACATTAAATTAAGTTGTTTCGACTAGCTTATAAATTTGATTTCAAATTAAATATATTTAATATAAGTAAAAAAAAACATATGTAAAACCGAGATAAATAGAGATTGTGATGTGTGAAGATAAAAAATGTAAGATGAGATCAAAGAAGTACAGAAAAAAAATAATAAATATATTACCTATGATCTATACCATTTTAGTGGTAYAGTTCAACTAAGTATATTGGACCAAAAAATTGGAGGTTCAAATTTACACTCCTATTGAATTTTTTTTCTTTTAAAAAAGAAATCCTCCTCTTCATTTATTCAAATGATATCAATTTTCTAATGTATCCATTTCCAAAAATCTTACCTTAATTTTTTCGGTAAGATCGAGTTTTCAAGAAAAGTTAAACACATCGTATAAAATATATTCTTTTCGTGAGTACATGTGTATACCTAACTTTAGCTCTTATAGAATTTTATTTGAAACTATTTATCTTATATTTTCATAAATTTAATGAAACAATAAAATTTAGTTAAGATTCTAATCATAGTAAAACAACATCTACATGAAATTGAGCTAAATAAATGACAGAGATGAATCTCTTATAGTAATAACATAGTCTAACATTGGTCCGATTTTGTACCCACTACGTATATATTAAAATTTAAAAAAAAATGAATTTTGGAAAAAGGAAAAAATTACCTTAACAGAAATGTTGGGCGAGGGAGGCATAGTGACAATATAGAACACAAGCAAAGCAATTCCCATGCTGAAAATTGCCCTCCAACTTAGCTGCAATAAAATCCATGCATTTGAATCTGAATTCCTATACGTAAAATATGTCTTCCAACAACCTCTCCTCTTCTTCCCATAATACCCTTCCTCGTCTCCGGCCCCGTCCTCCTCCCGCTCCTCGTCCCCCTCACGGCCGTTGCCACGACCGACGATCAGGCGGGCCTCGCCATTGTCGGTCCCGGCCCCGTGGTTGGACTCGCGAGATGAGGAGTAGCGGGAGAGGGTGACTCGAGAGGCCTCCTGGGTCGCGTTGTGGTGGTGGTGGTGGCCGGTGGGAAAGGTGTCGGAGCGGAGAGGGGAGTGGCAGGCTGACGACTCGGCCGCGTTTCGGATGTCGGAGCTGTTGGCGTGGGAGACGGTGGAGGGGCTTTGGACGTAATAAGCACATGGATATGAGTGGAAGAGAACGGCTTCTTGATCTTCGCCGGCGGCCTCCATCGGCGGCGGAGAGAGAGGCGGAGAGATGATTAATCTGACATGGGAAAGAGCATATAATGGGACGGTTTATAAAGTTTTCAAAAAAGAGAGATGAAAAAAAAAACTTTTTAGGAGGATATTGAATTGAACCATCTGAAAAGTAATAGATTTTTTAATTAATACACGATGAGAAAAAGAACTGTGTATTAATTCTATAATATAAGATAGATCTATAGATGCCTCCACATGTTTTATGACAAATCTTAGCCTTTATTGAAAAATGAAGAATTTTAAAAATCAAATTGAAAATGTTGTTGTTTGTTTCACTAATGCTACATTCTTTTACCTTTTCAATCTCGGTATCAAGAAAGTTCAAAAAAGATTTATAATTAAAAATTCGAAAAATGATTTAAAATTTTTTATCTTATTTGATACGAGAATGATTTGAAATGAATATAAATAATTTTTTTTGTTGGGATGTTTGTTGAGAATGGAAGGAAAATAAAATAAAAAATTTTACTAGTTTAGACATTCAATCTAAATTTATTAATTAGAAGTTAAAATGTGACAAGGTTAAATAAGTAATTTAATTTGGAATCGTGTGAAATTTGGTAAAGTCGAATCATTTTAATTTGTCCTATTTTATATTTATTTTCATATTCATAGTTAAGTTAACTAATATTATTGTTATCTTATATATATATGATTTCCATTCTCTAGTTAGGACAAGAAGTTTTAATAATATTCAATTATTTATATAGCTAAGGATTACTCAAAAGATCTTTTACATAAACTTTGGTGTTTTATTTATTATTATAATTTTCTATTTTTACTTATTTTTCTGTTATTTAATTATGATTAATATATAACCATTATGTCTAAAATTGTGACCCTTCAAATCTATCTAACAAATTTTATAAATTCCCCTTTCACATCAAAAGGAAAAGAGGGAAAAAACATCCAAATTCAAATATTTACGGTCAAAAACAAAGTTTGAAATATTACTGACGTCGATAGAAATGTCAAAAATGTTAAAAATATTGATAAACTGTTAATGTCTATGAATATTTTAAAAAATAAATTAACAAATACATAGTTAAAAATTAGTAGTATATTATATTCATTATTGATTTTTTAAAATATTTTATTGATTTTTTCTTTTGTAACATTATAGAAATATCAGCCTACTTCTTATATTTGATATTTGATGTCGAACTTACGAATATATATGAAAATATTGACATGTGGAGAAGAAAATTTAATACTATAATGGAAAAAGTGAAAAATCAAAATGATGAATTAAACAAGTGCAAAACAAAAGAAAGCTTTTTTAAAAGGGATAATAATTTTGGGATCCCAAAGTTTTACTTTACACCGAAAATGGCACCATCTTGATCAGGAATGATAACAAAACTAAGCATGCCTTCATTAATTCTAAAAATATTTATATAAATAATATGCCATTTTAACAATCCATCTAAATACATTAGCATCATCATATTCCTAATTAATTATTACAAATCCAAATTAAAAAAAAAAGTAGAGAGAGAAAGAGGGAGCAATATTTCTTGCTTTTTAAGCCATAGATGAGAAAGAGGGAGAGAAGGGCATATAGGTAATAATCATAAGGGTAAGAGTTAGAGAGAGAGAGGAGGAATAAAATGATTGTAGGCTTTAATTTGCTTTTACATCAAGACATTATGATATGCACTACACTCACACTAGAAATCATTTCATCCTCTAAATATATAGCTTTAATAACTACACCTCTCATTTACTCTTCCCTACATAATATATACCCCTTTTCTGATTCTGCTGTTGAATCTCTACCATCGGAGTTCATTGCTTGAATCGAGCAACACAGTGACTAGCGTAGGACTCAACACAATACCTCATGGTAGATGATACCAAAGTGTCCCATGTTTTTCACCACTATACCCTCTCCAAAGGACTCTCTGTGTGTGTGTATATATCTATGGCTCCCTACATACATATATATATATATATACAAACTTTCGAACCTATGATTTTTAAGGAATGTTATATTAGAGCTTTTAATTTTCGTAATATGAAGTGCTTAAAAGTTTATACTTCAAAAGATTTTATCTATAAATCTTTGCAGAAGACTTCTCTAAAAAAACTTAAAACTTCGGGAAATATAATCCTATTCTTTCATAATGGAGCGTGAGGTACCTACCACTTAATCTTTGTTTAATGAATTTTTCAGAAAAAAAAAACAAAAGAAGAAAGAAGAAATAACTAATGCTTTAATGGCATGATGTGGTTGGCCAGATTTAGGTGTATATAGATTTCTTCCGTATATTACTGACATGAGTATTTGTAGTTTAATCTATTAAGACATTACTTAATTTCTTGAAAGCTAGAGATTTAAGTCTCCATGAATCAAGGGCTCAGATAACTTTGTTGGGGTGAGTTGCAATAACTTGAATAAATTAACTTATTTTTATATTATTAATGGAAGGCTATTTTACTATGAACTTTACGATGATCAATTTTTCTTAAGACTCCAAGATGATGAGTATACTCTATTGTCCATTGTCCATGATTCGAATCAACACTCAGAGAAAATTTTCTAGTAAGACAGTCTTATAATATAGGATGATAGAGATTGCGTGTGCCATTCTTACAATTTTAGTATGTTGAAAATCATACGAGAAGCTTTCATTCATGTAAAATCAAAGGACATGCCTAATACAAATCGGAGTATTATAACACACTCTACAAATAAATCAAGTCTCATATAGTCATCTTAATGATATATTTACATTTTTTGTAATGGTCCTTAAAAAGTAATGAAAAATATAAACAATTACACATTGTATAAAGATACATGTACTCATACATTTGCATATGAATAATTTAGATCATAAGATTATTATGTAACAATTAAAAAGTAGATCACATCAAATAGTGTCACAAAAATAAGATCTGCAACCTTATCGTATAGTGTAGATTATTTTTAATTTTTGTAAACAGAAAACAATAGATTTTTTTTATTCTAAGCAGAAAATAAAAATTAAATAATATATTTTAAATTAAATATATCTAATATTTAATGTTTAGCCTTCACCATCAAACAGTCGCTTTGGCCGAGTGGTTAAGGCGTGTGCCTGCTAAGTACATGGGGTCTCCCCGCGAGAGTTCGAATCTCTCAGGCGACGCTATTTTAAGTTCTGTTTTAAATAACTGCATATTTAAATATAAAAATAAATAATGTAAATGCCCAGGTTTGAAATAAAACCTTTCAAATCTGCCACACTCTAAAAATGACTTTTTTTTTCCTTTCTTAAATAACTGAACTATTTAAATATAAAAATAAATAAGGTAAATTCCCAGGTTTGAAATAAAAATTTTCAAATATGCCACACTTTGAAGCAGCTTTTCTAAAGAGTCAAAACAGTCAAACTTAATCTCTATTAATTATTTTATTGTTGGGAAAATAAAACACAAAAACTTTAACGTAATAGCTGGATTTCTCATATATCGTTTCAAGATAATTAAATCCGAAGAATCGGTTGATCTTTCCGGTCTAGATAGATCACGAATTGACTTTTAATTTCCTAAAAAAAATCTCTTCGTAAACCAGAAGAGTAAAGCTCTCCCCAACCTCTCTCAAGGGATGAGAACTTAAAAAACGTAATGCACTATCTGATGTTGGGACCATAACCATTTTGTAATCGATCAAAAACTATTGACCAGCTGTAATATTTGATTAGTTCTAATTCAGCCCTTCATTAAATTAGAAATTAACCCATGGTGATCAATTTATAATACTCCTACCAAACTTAATAGATAATTAGATCATTTTGCTTGATTTAATTAAGTCACAAAAATACATTAAATAATTACATGTGTGATCCAATATTATTGAAAATTCCAACATTTAGCAGTCATATATTATACATGGATATCTAAAAGATTTAGACACTATTTTGATCTTTTCTACTTAGGACTTTGATATATTTTGGTCACTAAACTTTCAAAATGTATATTTTGATCTTTGTATTTTCAATTTTTATTCATTTTAGTCAACTTTCAAAATGTCAATCTTAGTATACTTTTAAAAAGTGTCCATTTGAGTCCCTTTATTTTCTTTTCCTTTTTGTCTCATTTCTTTCCATCATAATTTTAGCATGGTACTTTATTCACTAAATTTCTTAAAATTTATCTATAAATTTGTGTTAAAGGATTTCCATTATGTATAAATTTTGTAGTTAAAATTTTACAATTAGAGACCATATTTATTATTTTTTCTAAAGTATAAGGATCAAAACAAACTTTTTGAAAAAATAAAGATTAAAATAAACAAAAAGTTGAAAATACAGTAATCAAACTAAACATTTTAAAATAGGGGACTAAAATAAATCAAAGACAAAAGTATGAAATCTAGTGTTCGAACCTATTAAAAACAAACTTAGATTAACTAGTTAAAGGATTAATTATTTTCATCCTAGAGTTGAAATTATTTGTAATGTATATATACTATAAACAAAAATTAAAACTTAAAGCTTTCTTTTTTTTTTTTTACCAAAATACTTGAAGCATAAGAACTATGCTTAAGTTGACACTAAATAATAACATTTACTAGCCGATATCGTTACAAGTTATTATATCAATCTGAGTAAAATTTCACAAATAATCGTCTATTTCACTAGAATCTAATCGTTTAAGCTGTCGTCCCCATTTCATTTAACCTAAATACTAATTTTCTTTACTTTGCTAGTACCTCACATAAGTTCCAATAAGTTATATAACATGAGGTCACTTTTCCAAGATACTAAAATTGCAATTAAAACATAAATCAAGTCATATATTCTCAGCCAAAAGGTTTGAAATTCTAATTCTCACCCTACGTGTTGTTGATCTAAAAAAAGTTTAAATACTATTCTTGCGACTTTTGTTCATTTTAGTCCATGCACTTTCAAATATTCATTTTGGTCATGTCCTTTCGAAATATTCATTTGTGTACTTCTAAAAAGTGGCATTTAGTCTCTTCAATTTCATTTTTATCTTATCTCTTTCTATCACAATTCTAATTTGACACTTCACTCGTTAAATTTCTTGAAATGTAGTTATAAATATCTTATAAAGGTTGCGTATAAAATTTGTGTTAGGAATTTTACAAATAGGAGCCAAAATTGTCACTTTTTAAAAATAAGGGACCAAAACGAACATTTTGAGAGTATAGAGACTAAATGAACAAAAGTTAAAAGTATCCTAATCAAAATAGACGTTTTGAAAGTAAAAAACTGAAATGAACCAAAGAAAAAAGTACCCAGACAAAAATAGTATTTAAATCTAAAAAAAGAGAGAGATTGCTGGTGTAAATATTATCCCTAATTTATATTTGCATTTGTACACATAAATGATAAAACAACAAATATGATCCAATCCTTGCTTATTATTGTGCTGATCCTTGTGCTAAAATGGTGGTGCTCAACAAAAGACCATGTTTTTGAAGGTACACAAACTTAACAAAATCTCTCAAAGTTGGGATTTTGTAGAACAAAAACACACTGTACTTTCTCACTCTACCTCCTCTCTCTAACTTTCCTTCTCAAGTTGGGAATCAACTTCTTGACCCTCCAAAGATACAAAGACCAAAAACCAAAAGAAATCTCTTTCATTTCCACTTCATGGCTTCAAAACCATGGCCAACCAAAACTAATTTTCTTATTCAATATTTTTATTTTTGTGGGGTTTTATTGAGAGATAAGAAATCACATGAGGGGAGGAAGAATATATATATATATATATATATATATTTGAGGGTTGGTCTCCCAAAAATTCCCTAAATAAATGGCTTTGAAAGGGGAAAAAAAACTCTTTTTTTGGTGGGTTTTGCTGAGAAGAGAAGAAATGAAGGACAAAGAATATATATGTATAAGTGGGGTTTTGTTGCTTTTTCAAAAAAATTTCTAAATAAATGAAAAGATTATGGGATTTTAGAGAGAGGGTAAAGTTGTAAAATCAAAGGAAATTAGGAAATGAGGGTATGTCTTGCATGAAACTCTCCAAATCCCATTCATTACCCATCTTCAAGCTTTCTTGTAATTGTCCATGGCTTCCCATGTCTCCAAAAATCTCCTCCACATTCAAATTTTGCTCATTTGTTCCCAAATATTGATCAAAATTGCCTCTACTATTCATTAATGGACAGTTCATCTCTTCATGTGGAAGACATGCCACATCCCTTTCCATTTCCATTGATCTTTGAGCCTCCAAACTTCCATAGCTGAATCTCTCTTCCATCCTCATTTCCATTCCCATTCCGACTTCTGCCAAGCGCCCTCCCGGTGCCTGTAGAAAGCCGTTGGCAGCCCCGGCCAATTCGAAGTTGTTGTCTAGGAAAGGCATGGTTGGAGCATCGAAGGAGTTGTGTCCTGTGATGGACACTGGAAGTTGGGAAGATGACGAGGAGGTGGATGATGAATCCATGCTCATGTTCATGCTCACGATGTCGTGTTCTTGCATCGACATTAAACCTCCAAACATCATGTCCAATCTTGGATCCGATGATTCATGGCTGTTGAAGGGTGAGGAAGAAATGTTGTTTTTTAACCTTTTCTTCAATGTAGAGTTCCAAAAATTCTTTATTTCGTTGTCCGTTCGTCCAGGCAAGCGTGATGCAATTTGAGACCACCTATTTGATTTTTTTTCAGAAAAACAGATCGGTTAGTCTCGAGATCGAAAGAAATAATAGATTCAAATGTTGTTATAAACAAATGTATAGACTTGGTGCAAATAACTTCATTTGAAGAACAACGATGCCCTAAAACATGTCAGTAATTTAAAAATATATATATATATCCTTCATCGTAACATCATTTGAATAAACGATTGTATTATATGCAACGTTGTACTCATTATCCACATGTTTAAAACATGGCAAACGTTTACACAATATGTTTATTGTAAAATTCTTAAAAATCCATGTATTTTCTACACGACGTACGAAATTTATATTCTCCAAATATGTAAACTAAATACAACGCGTATCCTTTCACATTATCGATCCCTTTTCCAAATGAAGCTATGACTAGTGACATTTTTAATACAACCAATAAACTTTAAAAGCATTATGAGTATTCCTTATCATTGTCTTTTGTTGTTTTCCCCAAAAACCCATTTGAAACTCTCAATTGGGTTTCAAGAAAAATGTGTCCAGAGAGAGTCTGGTTTCGTGTGAAGTGAAGAGAGATAATGGATCTCCAGTAACGAGTCTGGAACCGTAATTCAATTGATTAAAGTATTAGTAAAAACTAAAAAGTAACGTGTGAGAACAAGCGGACCTGTTGCCAATAAGGGAATGCAAGTGGACAATGAGCTCTTCTTCTTGAGGAGAGAAAGCTCCACGTTTAAGGTCAGGCCTGAGATAATTAATCCAACGAAGACGACAACTCTT